TAAACCACAAGATCCCAGCATTCCTTTGAGATGAAGAGCACAAGGCTTGTGTGTCTGTACAGCCCAAGAAGAGCTCTTATCTTATCCTTGCATTGCAACCAGTGTCACAAACCCAGAACTTTTTTTCTACTCGCCTTCAGGCAACATAAAGGAAACATAACAGAAAGTGACTGAGAGTATCTGTCTTGCATGATGGTGAATTTTCTGTGCTGTGGCCCTTCCTGTTCTTGATAGCCGCGTTGTTGGGATGGAGTCAGTGTAGACTGCAGCTTATCTTACTCCTCTTGGCTTGAATTTCACAATCAGAATAGAAATATCCCTTCTCTCTAGGGGAACCATTCATTGTCATCCCTAGTGCCTGCCAGACAGATAGCAGGCTGTGTGGACTCTTCAACATTGAGTTAAAGAGTCTGTCCCAGGAGCCTAAGGTTCAAACTAGGGGAATGCATTGCTACACGCACTCTTAATTAGCTTTACAGACTCGCAGGGAGCTCTTTGATGGCTTACACACAGACCACTGGAGCTAGCTTCCTCTTGGTTGTGATGCTGTCAGCCAGACATTTTAACTCTTCATGGTTTGGATTTAAGCATTTGGATCCCAGGCTGAAGAGGACCCTTCGACAAGACTTTGCACATTTGGCTTTTGTCGTCTAAACTCAGAGAAGCAACAAGCTGTGAAAGCTGCACATTTGCAGTACCTGTTCTTAGATACATTTTCCCCCTACGTTTCAGCCACTTAAAATTGATGGTTCATCAACAACCCTGCATGTCAAAGCTGACTCTCCAAACTTCTTTCTCCTACACAAAAATGAGTCTAGTTTTTATAATCTATATAAAATCTAACCAATTTCCCGAAGCTTTGATTACATACAAAAATAGTCTCTTTTCTATAACCTGTCTTGCCCCTTTCCAGAACTGCAACCTAAACCTTTATGTTTACTGCCAGTTAAAACGGTGCTTTGTGTTTGCTCTTCCTCTTCAACGTCTTCAAAAAGTTTTTTTTAATAACAATAACAATAACAATGTATCCAGGAAGTCTTTTTAAAAAGGGCTTTTTATTTTAAGACTTTCAAGAGTAGTCATTTGGGGTTTTGGGCTTGGGAAGGGAAAGGGTGTTCTGGGATTATTCCAGTGGCGGAGTGCTGAGGAAGACATGTTGGAAAGGCGGTGCTCAGCTGCTGTCAGGCAGTTTTTGTGATGCTGAATTATGTTTGGTATCATGGAAATGGGCTCGGCAGCCTTATGCTGCCACCAGGGTAGTCCTGCACACTGGCCACACACATGGGTTTTGTCTCTTCGTTCTGTATTTATTGACGACAAATGTAGAAATGGCAAAGATGTTGGAAGAGCTTGTGTTATTGCGCAATAGATACTCAAACACTACACCAATATCCCATCTGGGGGTGGTGGTGCAGTTCTCCTGTCCTTGCAGCTTCGGGACATTCTGAAGTGTGACCTACAGTTTCTCAGTCTCTTTATATTTATTGTTAGAGATCATACCTAGGAAACCCATTGCAAATGGCACCCACAGCCAAAGAAGGCTCCACGGCCCAAATGTTGGGAATAAGCCTTTACTTTTTCCTTTGCAGCCTATGCATGCTGACGTGGCTTGAACTATATGGTAAAGGGTATTGGTATGTTGCTGAACAGGTACAGTAAATAGTCATACATGGTAAAATATTCTTTTGTTTTGGTTTAATTTGTAGATAAACACCAATGGCTTCATTGCCACCAGTCAACCGACAAGTGAGAGGGAGTATCTAGACAGTTTCCCCCCCAGTTTTGGCATGGTCGCCATGTTCTTGGCCGACCTGGACACCAGCGACGGAGTTGGCAAAGTCTTCGTCCGGCAAGACGCCAGTCCCAACACCCTGCAGCTGGCGGCCGCCCACATCAACCGGGCCTTCCCCTACGATGAAAAGTTCACCCCCACTCACACCCTCGTCGTGACCTGGGAGGACGTGGCTGCCTACCAGGAGCACACCAGGGGCGACGGGCTGGACAGCAAGGTAACCCTGGGCACTGGCTGGCTCCCTGCTGCACTTTCCCAGTCAGCCTCCTTTCAAAGCAACCGTAAGAGGGGATAGTAGACCGCAGAGGGAGGTTAAGGTGGTCCTGGGTACAAGTCCTCCAATCTGAATAACCACCATGTTCCTCATCTAGTTCCATTAATGGAAATCAGTTTTTACTGGGGGGTTCATTTACAAGGCTAGTGTCCCATCTGGTGGTGGTGGTGGTGGTGGGGTATTTTACTGTAAGTTCACATCACACTGCAAAAAGGTCAGGCAAGCTCTTTCACTCTGATCCACTTAACCTTGCACAGAAGCCTTGTAATTCTCATTTAATGTGTTGTCTATGTAATTCAGTGCCTTGATCGAAACCTCTCAGTTCTGCTTCAAGTGTGCGTGTGAGTATTGCAGTTTATCCCTGATCCTGAAGTAAATGGCCTGTATCGTGATTAATTAAAAGTGGATTGTTCCCATATGTATGTGTTTTGTATTTGTGCGATCCTGTTTTAATACCTTTTTTTTGCTATGCGTCTATAATTTGGCCTTTTTTAATTGGATAATTCTTTACAATTCGCTCTGCAAAACAATGGTAATGCAATGGGGGTTTTCGGCTAGTGATACAAACAGAATGCCATTGCAAACTCAAGCCAAGAAGAAGAGAAGAATTAAGATTTTGAACGGGATGATCTGGATGGAGTTTGTGATGGGTTCCTTTAGAGACTTGCACTGATCGCGGGTACTGTCTAAATAGGTTGCATTTTGTTCCACTTGCACAGAGAAACACCTTCCAAGCCATCCTGGCTTCTGGGGAAAAATCTACGTATGCCATTCTGCTGTACCCAAGGGATGGGCTGCAGTTCTCTTCGACGCGTTCGAAGGGCACGGACACAGACCGTCCAGCCCGAGTTGCCTTTAGCAAAGGACTGCAGCGGTACTTGATATGGAGCTATCGCCCAGGACCTTACTATGAAATCACCACCAGCAGCGAAGAGTCTGTCAGGGATCTTTATGAGTAAGACACTTCCTCATTCTCATTGGGCCCCTCTCACCAAACACAATACGGTACAACCTACGCTACAGTCAAACTACAGTACAACCTCTTGGTGTTTTTGCACAGTGAGGGTTAAAAGCGTGGTCTCACAATAATTAAAATAGCTTTATAAGGTTGCTGTTTTCATTAATGATCGAAGAATAATTCCTGTAAAAGTCTAGAACTATGCAGCATTAGTTCAAATATGTTAACCATAAGCCTATCGTCTTTCTGACTTATTTGCGCTTTTTATTTCCCGGACTTACAGTGAGCCAGTTCCAATTTAAGGATGCACTCTGTTTATCCCTGGTTTTGGAATTTGGCTGAGTTCCAGAGTCCTTATTGTCAGATGAAATGAGTGTTTGTTAGGTACAGTATGAACAGACAGCATAACAGACTTTGGAATCGCAGACTGTCGTGTGTCTGAAACAGGCACATGAATTGGCTTGGGATTTGGATTGTTTGGGAATGACTCCCTCCGCTCCCTCTCCGTTTTAAGTGAAGTCCTTGTTTTTCTGCTGTAAAGCGCTGACGGAAGATTCTCTTTCTTTCAGGCTCACGAATTCTGGCAAGCGAGGCGTGTGGGTGTACGAGATAGGGACCACCCCTTACTTCAGCAACGTTGCGCCGGGGGAAGTGGAAGAGATTCCCACCGAGGTCCCCCTGGAGAATCCCCAGGGGGGTTATGATGATGAAGTGCCAGAGACCCGTGTGGACCCGGGGCCCAGACGCGAGGAGGAGCAGCAGGTGCTGGAGTACCCACCCTACCAGCCGTACCCCCACCAGCCAGCCGTAGAGAACCCCGATTCTTCCCCGTATGAGGGGAGACTGGAACGACCTGCACTGAGCACCCCTGAAGATCCTGCTCCTGTAGACACCTACGCAGAGCCCATTCCTGTCCAGCCGGTCCAGTTTCGTCCACAGTACCCCCAAGAGATTGGTCAGGCCCGGCAGCCACTCTACCCCATCGACAACGCCAGGGTCGTGGTTGTGGATGGGGACCTTGAAGTAGATGCCAATGGTACGTTTTCTGTTCTTACAGGATGCAATACATGTGCTTCAGTCTTTGCTGACCGTCTTTTCCTGTTCCTGTTTCCCTGCAGTTTTTACATACAACTCGGAGACTTGTGCTAACAGCCGACAGAAGTGCTCCAACTTTGCTGATTGCAGGGACTACCCCACTGGCTATTGCTGCCATTGCAGGCCTGGCTACTATGGGAATGGAAAACACTGTGTGGCAGAAGGTAA